TTCCGCTGTTACTTTCAAAACAAGCCCTTATCTCCCCTTCTTCTTTTTTATGTTCGTTACTCTCTTGTAACACCTCTAATCTTCTGGCGCTCATATGACCGTATGCAGTTGCGAGCGCCGTAAAACCTCTACTAAAACTAAACACATCCCTCTCTCTGGTGTCCCTGCCAGGGTCTCTCTCTCTCTCTCTCTCTCTCTCTCTCTCTCTCTCTCTCTCTCTCTCCCTCTCTCTCCTCCCCCCCTACCCCATGTATGTCTATCCCGGTATATAACACATCCCCCTCTCTTGTGTCTCTGCCAGGGTGAGATCGACGCCCGTGAGGACAGCTTTCAGTCCACCTCCAAGGCCGGCACTCGCCTGGTAGAGTCCAACCACTTTGCTGCCGATGAGGTCAGAGACAAGGTGAGTCCTTGAACCCTGTCACAGGTGACCTTGAACCCTGTCACAGCTTAGCCTAGGCCGATGAGGTGAGAGACAAGGTGACCTTGAACTCCCTCTGCCCTGACCCTGAGATAGTGTAGTTGCACACGTGTGCGCTGGGCCCTGCACCTCCCAGTATCGGGATGGACATGTCCACTGCTTAGTGGGGTAATCACTCGTCCAATGAGAACAGGCTATGCTTTGTACATGACCCTTGGTCATTTATTTATCAGAAACGGACTCACAAGGACAAAGGTCGCTTGCTGGACCAACAATTGAAAGTAACTGACCACGTGGTAACCAAGTTGGAAATGTAAACGAGTCTTGGTAAGTTGGAAATGTAAACGAGTCTTGGTCTTTCTTCCCAGCTACTTTTTAGTACCTGTTGCTGACTTTTTAAAAATTGCAATATCTCACAGACTAGTAAATATTTTCAAATTGCAATATCTCACAGAATAGTAAATATTTTCCAATTCTGTAAACAGTAATAGACTATGTAATAACTAAACAAATTGTGTGTGCAATATTAATGCCATTGGAGTTGATTTAGTTTTGTTTTCCAATTTTCCAAAAACTCCAAAAACCTCAAGGCACAGCCAGCAGACCAGGTCCTTAGCCCCAGAGTCGCGTGGGTTAACCCTGTTACAACTTAGCCCCAGAGTCGCGTGGGTTAACCCTGTCACAACTTAGCCCCAGAGTCGCGTGGGTTAACCCTGTCACAACTTAGCCCCAGAGTCGCGTGGGTTAACCCTGTCACAACTTAGCCCCAGAGTCGCGTGGGTTAACCCTGTCACAACTTAGCCCCAGAGCCGCGTGGGTTAACCCTGTCACAACTTAACCCCAGAGTCGCGTGGGTTAACCCTGTCACAACTTAGCCCCAGAGCCGTGTGGGTTAACCCTGTGAGAAATTGTCCTTATAGTGGGAGTTGTTGCGAACTTAGCTGTGTTGAGGGCCAGTCGCTCTCTCTTCAATGATCCAACAGCTCTCGCGTGTGGGCCACCCCAGTTTGAATCCTCAACAGGGCTTTCTTGAACTTAGACGTTCTCTTGGTTTGTGGAAAGTCTCAGCTGTTAAATAACAATAAACAAAGCTTCGTAAAAATCTATTTATATTTTATTATGTGATGGAATATGGTTCCATGCTTCTCTTGCCTAAGATAAATTATGTTGACTTTGTGTTGGACCTGGTCTTATGGCCATATAGTGGAACCTACATGTTTAAGACAATCACTTGTACATGGCTAGGTACAGTGGAACCTACCTGTATAAGACAATCACCTGTACATGGCCATATAGTGGAACCTACCTGTTTAAGACAATCACCTGTACATGGCCATATAGTGGAACCTACCTGTTTAAGATAATCACCTGTACATGGCAAGATACAGTCAAACCTACCTTTATAAGAGGATCACTTTTACATGTCAAGATAGTCTAACAGCCACTTGCATAAGACAATCACTTGTACTTGGCAAGGTACAGTGGAACCCAGTCTAACGGCCACCTGTATAAGACAATCACCTGTACGTGGTAAGGTACAGTCTAACGGCCACCTGTATAAGACAATCACTTGTACATGGCAAGGTAGTCTAACGGCCACCTGTACAAACGGCCACCTGTATAAGACAATCACCTGTACTTGGCAAGGTAGTCTAACGGCCACCTGTACAAACGGCCACCTGTAAAAGACAATCACCTGTACATGGCAAGGTACATTCTAACGACCACCTGTATAAGACAGTCACCTGTAGAAGACAATCACCTGTAGAAGACAATCACCTGTAGAAGACAATCACCTGTACAACCACTTCCCATTCCCCCTTTTTGACTTCTGTACGTTCTAATAAGGGCGAGAGCCCAGCTGTTGCTGGATGCAGACCTGCCATTCATCCCGATTTAGTCGGGATATCCCGATTTTTTGCCCCAAATCTCAATACTCCCGATTTTCCCGATTTCGATCACGTGTATCCCGATTTTTTGTCCCAGTCTGCTGTTGTGCCAGATTTTTCTAAAAACTTGCTCTGCCTTCTCCTTTATCGCAGGAAGCACCCGTCGAACTTTTTGTCAGTAGGAACTCGGAGCACTATTTCCTGAAATATCGATGCCGCATTTAGTAGTTGACTAGCCCCAAGTTTTGTGTGATCTTTTCCCATGCTCAGAATTCTCCGATGATAGCCTGGTAACTGTTACACTTTGGGACTTACAAATAATCGATAATGTTCGTAGTTCCGCTGTTACTTTCAAAACAAGCCTTGTCCGAGGTCTGGTAACTGCGCGTTCACATCAAACACTCGGACGAGCGACAGTCTTTCTAACCCTTACATAACTACATGTAACTGCGCTGACAAGACTAACATACGGCCGTTGTCGTTGCTTTTGTCTGAACACATGAGGGATAAGAGATTTGTTGGTACATTTGGTCGGTCGGCCGCCGCCGTTATTCTAGAAGTAGAACGACTGTCACTCATCCGAGTGTTTTGTGTGAACGTGCTTAGTCGGACCCGCTAGTAATTGTTTCAATCGCGCATTCGCGTCACGTGACCTATCATCGCCGTGTGAGTTCTGCCTGTCGGGGACCGTCCGTTGACGGGGTCAACTTAAGTTCATGTATTTCGGGACTTAATGGTAGGGGTGGGGGGGTATAGACACTTGGACTAGGAGTGCTTGACGCGATGCTTCAGGATTTACAAAAAATAATTATAACTCGCACGCACGCGTACACACACACACACACACACACAC